TGGTCTTATAATCATTATATTTTAGTATAGAAAAAAAATTAAAACCTTGATCTTAAAAGTATATGTGGGACTTTAACAGTTTTAGTAATTTATAATCATTTTGAAAAATTCAAAATACAACATACAAAAAAAAAATCTAGATCTTTATTATATGATTAATGTAATTGTGTAATTTTTTTTAATAATAAAGAAATAAAAAAATGAAAAAGTATACAGATTGTTATCAAATCTTTATTGTTTAAAATCATTAATTGTCATATATATATTTTGATCACATTAGGTAATTCCGTAGGTTTTATTTAAGGAAAGCATGCGAACCAATAAATATTTGATATATACGACCAACTATAGCCTACGGAATATTATAATGCTAGAGAATATGATTTTTAAACTATACATTATATCACATGCTCTAGAATTCTTGGGATTTGAAATAGAAGCCAAAGAGATATGCCACGTAGAATTGGGGTTATTTTTAAATGAAGTGTCATTGGGCTTGATTGGTAGAGTATTAGCAAGTAACCTAATGTTTTTGTAAGAAGCAGTTAGTAAAATACTTGCATTTAAAATATATAAAGTTTCAAAACTAATTTAATATAATTTATTTATTTGTCTAATAATATTAGAAAATTATATTTTTTGAAAAAATAATTTTTTAAAAAATAATTTTTTAAAAATAATTTTATACAAAATTAAGTAAAATTTTAAATTATTTTTAAAAACAATATTTTAAGGTTTTCAAATACAAATAAACAATTTAAAATTAATTATCGTCATGATTTAACATAACCATAATGATTTAAAAAATTTAAAAAAAAATAAAAATTAACTCAGTTTTATATCATGATTTAACAATTTAAAATTAATTATGGTTATGAGAAATTTACGTTCACATATCAATCCTATTTATCTTCATTTTTTCTCTTGTTGTGTTTTGTTATATTTTGGTTATTACTCGATATAAATGTTTATTTTGAAGTTTATTCTCATTTTGTTTATTTGTTTTGACCTGAGATTTAGAAAATACTTAAGATTTAAAATAATTAAAGATATACATACTTAGGTTAAGATCTGCACTTTATACACAATAAGTAGTTTATAATTATTCTTTATTTTATATTTTTCTACATATTATAAAATAACAAATATATATTAAATAACTAATAAATCAGTTACTATTATATAATAAATTGACGTATGTATATAAATTTATTTATCACTTTTTTATTCGCAGTTAGGGTGAATAAATCAAAATAATCAATCTTATATATTGTATATGAAATATAATTAAATTTAAATGATATAAACATAGTAATATATCACACTTTTAATATAGATATTTATTAAATGAGGTTTTTACTCATAAGATTTTATGATTATTTGCATATTTATGTAACAAAATTTTACACCAACGAATGTTTTT